TTTGTCGGCGCGCTTTTGACATCGCAGTTTTAGCCCTGCGGTTTTGTCGGCGCGCTTTTGACATCGCAGTTTTAGCCCTGCGGTTTTGTCGGCGCGCTTTTGACGTTTGCGCTTTTGTCGTGCCACGGTTTATGTGGTGTGTGTTGCCATTTCAAGGACAGGTTATAAGTAATTTTTTGGAGGAGCTGTTTGCAAGATGTAAGCTGTTCCAAGAAAATTTGCCTTTTGCAATTGGCTGGTGATGATTTTGTCAATGCTGTTGGTGTTCAAGTGCTGCTTCCAATGTTTTGGGATTGCATTTGGCTGCATGAACTTTTGCTTTAGTGTTCATTTTGGAGAGTCACAAAGTCCCTTGTTTTTACAGGTGGCATTTTTCTCTCGATCGTTTCCTGTGTGGCCTTGGATTGTTGTGGTTGTCCATTTGGATCTAAGCAGCAAGATGGAAGCCACGTACTGTTACAATGTGCAGTTTGAGGACTCAGATTTTGGCCAAGATTTTCTGCATTTAGTAACAAGGAAATGAGAAAAAGAATAGGGAATGTTGTATCATTCTCACTTCTTGCATTGCCAGTTACATGGCTTCCAACTTGCTGCTCAGCTCATTAATACTATTCATGGGTAAACTATAAATTTTACAAACTGTAAATTTTAAGTTTCCAGGCAGCCTTAACAGCAAATCAACTAAGGCACTGTCTCCTCCTCTCAAACATTTTCTTTGACCGTACTAAACGTCTGGGTGTGCTTCCTCTTTCATACCAGCTGAACTCCCCATATACTTGTTACAGTTTTCACTCATTTTTAGAAAAAGATAGTATTTCCGCTTATTGAATAAAAAGTATTACAATGTGTCTACATGGCAGGGAGTTGGACTGGAAGACCAACAAGGCGCCTTCCAACTCTGTTATTCTGTCGTTCTGTTATCTATAGGTTGCGCATAGCATAAAAGCAACTAGCTTTACCATCTACTATTGTTTAAAAAGAATCCTCAAAAGTATCCTTGTAGAATTGGGGAGTGTCAAACACAGGGCTTTTATTTATCCTTTTAGCGTTGTCCATTGGAAACTACTGTACTGAAAGTGAAGATGCTTGACATGGGAGAACCAAGAGCTCTGTTAGCAACCGCTCTCTCTCCTCCTGTTAGCAGTGATATTGAACGCACAATTCTGCACCTTAAAGAGGTGGGTGTTCTATTAAGTTAAAACAATTGTACACAATTCTTTTAAGTATGGGTTTGTTTGTTTTTTTGCAAAACCAAGCCATCTGTTTGGTTAGTAGGATGAAAAGTTAAATAATCCATAATATTTGTAATTTGTATATATTGGGTCACTGGAATTCAGCCTAACCAGTATGGTGCTACCTGCTGAGCATGGATAACCAATTCCCAGAATTCAATTTTGGGGAGATGACTCTGAATAATTAAAAATGAAATCAGGGAATGAGACCACATGCTTCACAAAAAAAGTATACTGTTTTGTCATTACTCTTATATGTGTGCATTCAGCATTGTTGGTTGCAAATTGTGCTAGCCTGACATTATTTGCTTCCAGGTTTTGAATGTAACTTTTGGCTTATACTAAAGGTTAGTCTTAAAAGTCATGATTGTGTCTCCAATTAATAATATTCTTTCTTTTGTTTTGAAATAGTTAGGAGCACTTGCTATTAATGATCATTTTGAAGAAAGAAATCCTTACGATGGTGAGTTGACCTTTCTGGGAAAGGTGCTGGCACAGTTACCTGTGAATCATCACCTAGGCAAACTAATAGTTCTTGGACATGTCTTTGGATGTCTGGAAGAAACACTTATAATAGGTGAGTAACAAATACAGACATATCTCAACTTGGTTAGTAATATCTTACAAGCCGTTCACAATGGAAAAATAAGAGGGAGGCAGATCTTTAAACTTAGAAATGCATGATTATGGCCAAAGAGCCACCTAAAAATAATGTACTGAAATTGATGAAAGAAATTTGTTAAAATCAGTGATGCTAGATACTGCATGTAACGAGGAATGGATACATATATAAATATCCCATTAGTCTCCTGCATCTGCATTAATTATATAAATTCTGCACATGGAAATAAAACTTGAGTCTGCTGCCTTTTTGTGATTAAAAGGCAAATACAATTTTTAGCAATGAATGTCATTCTTTCTCTCTCTTACAGCTGCAGCCCTCTCTTTGAACAGTTTCTTTGTGATACCTTTCAAGCAACATCTTGATGGATATAGGTATTTTCCCTAAAGCCACAATCTGTTTTATTGACATTCGATCGTTCATTTTGTATGTGTGTATCAGGGGTGGGTTCCTGAACCGGTTAGTTCTGGTTTGCTGCTCGTGTGCTCACTGGCCACGCATTGCTCGCGCATGTGCAGTTGACTAAAAATTGTTCTGCACATGCGCAGAAACATGCCAGCAATGGGAGAAGAGACAGGGGGACCGGTTCAGGGGCGTGGCTGGCCTGGATCGCTGCCAGTTCTGCAACCCAGGCCAAATCACCACTACCAGTTTGGCCGAACTGGGAGCAACCCACCACTGGTGTGTATATACTATTTTTTATAAAATTTGCTCCAAGGTTCAAAACATATTAAAATTCCATAAAGCCAAGCAACTGAGAAGTGGAAGGCAAGTTTTTATCCCACTTTTTCTTCAGAAGAGAGCAGTTTGGTCTAGTGCTTAAGGCACCAGGTTAGTAAGCCAGAGATTTGTGTTCTAGTCCTGCCTTAGCCATAAAAGCCAGCTGGGTAACTTTGAGCCAGTCACTGTCTCTCAGCCCAGCTTCCCTCACAGTGTTGTTATTTTAGAGAAAATAGGAAGAAGATGTATTGGATGTGTTCAAAACATATGAATTATTTCAGAGGTGGTATTCAGCCGGTTCTCTCCAGTTCGGGCGAACCGGTAGCGGTGATTGTGGGAGGCTTTGCCCACCCACCCTGACATAATGCATGAGCAATGCGCCTGCGCAGAGGTCGATGTGCAGACGCGGTGCGTGTTCTCACATTTGCGAACAG